AGAAAACGTCAGCTGGGTGGACAAGCCACGATCACGCACGTGTTTGAAGAACACACTGTGCATGGACTTGTCCATTAGTTCACCAAGGAGTAGTTTTTCCTCGGCGTTATTATTATTATTATTATTATTATTATTATTATTATTAACATACTCGCTGCGGAGAGCTGCTCGGACTTCAGAGACAGCATGCATGCGGTGCTCTTCCATTCCTAGATATCTATACAACTCTCCGGCGTCTAATTGTCTTAAGATGCTCCCATCTACTAACTCGACATCATCCTCTGTATCAGAGCACTTACCCCTCGCCAGATGTACGACTGCACACTTGTCCAACCCAAAAGACATTTCGACATCTCGTGTGTACTCTGCTACGATGTTAAGGGCCGCCTGTAGGTGATCTTCATTAGCACTATACAGCTTGAGATCATCCATGTAAAGCAGATGGGTGATCGAGTATTTTTGATCACCCGGGGGCCCCACAGAGTACCCACGGGTTTTACGGAGAGCAACAGATATAGGCAGCAGTGAAATGCAAAACAGCATAGGGCTCAAGGAATCGCCTTGGAAGACCCCTCGTTTGTACTAAAACGCGTTGTGAAAACGCGTTCGCCAGAGCTCCATTGTACGGCGAATGCATTCCACTATTTCAGGATTGACGCCTAGGCACTTGAGGAGATATAGGATCAACTCGTGTGGAGTTGAGTCAAATGCCTTGCGATAGTCGATTCAGGCCATTGAAAGGTTGCGTTGATGGTAGATCGCATCTTGTATGACACATCGGTCAACTATCAAGTTCTCCTTGCAACCTGGCAGGCCTCTTTTGCTGCCACGCTGTTCATATATTTGTTGCCATACAGGTTCTATCTCCTGTAAAATACGGTTGTTTAAAATTTTCGTAAAAATTTTATAAACCGCATTCCAGCAGGTGATAGGCCTGTAATTCTTTGGGTTAGACAAGTCACCTTTTTTAGGTATCAGTACTGTTCGCCCTTCCACAAGCCAGTCTGGAATCGGTTCTTCAGCTCTAATGTACGATGTAAATATGTGGGCCAGATGAAGGTGGGTAGAAGTGAACTTCTTCCACCAGAAGACATTAATGCTATCTGGTCCCGGGGCAGCCCAATTTTTGCTGCCATTTAGAGCTGAACGAACTTCGTCCACACTGACTGCAGGGCTCTCTTCATGAACATTCTGTCTATGGTGTTCCTGACAGAATGCTTTGAAGTCATGCAGAGCTTGAGTATTGGCGTTCGCGTTTGGTTGATCTCCATACAACTCAGTCCAAAAAGCTTCCACCCGCTCAGTTGTTGGATAGTTCCCGGTAACATCGGTTTTTGGTGTCAGAAAGCGTGAAGGGCTGGATCGGAACAACGAGTTGTCAACCAACCGCTTCAGCTTTTTCTCTAGTGACTTTTTGGCAGTCACTAGAGCCCGGAATTTATTAAGAGACTCTTCTTTGATGACAAGCAGAGTACTCTTATTCAGTGTGTGATGGTGCCACCGAAGTTCTGCAGCAATGCGCCGGATTCGGGGCGTGTATGCTCTTTGGGTTGTTTTAAACTCTATCACACACTGAATGCGGGAGACCTGTTTCCGGGATTTGTCAATTTTGAGTCCAAGTTGTGAGATGCGCTGTCTCAACCTTGCTTCGATCGAGAGACGGTGTCTCTCTCTCGGGAAAGCCGAAACTGCTGCACCATACACAACTTGGTTCACAGTGAGCAGGGTGGAATCTTCTAGGATGTTTGCACGGACATCTTCATTTACCGTGTCAAGCTGTTGTTGAGAGTAAGTTATCTTTTTAGATATATTTACTTGCCGTCCTATAAAGGGATTGTTGTCATCCAAGGAGGAACGGCGCCACTCTTGATGTAATGGCGCCGGATTGGAAAGTCTATTAGACTGCCTTCTATCCGGTACAAGCGATTTTCTATTACGCCGAAGATAAGCGGCGTAATTACGCAGGTGTTTAGGCGTAAAATGCTTTAGCTCCGGATGCATTTCACTCCAACGAGTGTGCATCCGGGCCATATAACCGCTTACCCCCGGCTCGCTGTGTTGGTAGCACACCAAAAGATCGGCTCGTAGTTCCTCCGTCCACTTAAAATTAGTCCTTAAAGCGCCAAGGTGGTCAACGTTCATCGGGTCCGGCGTGCTCCTCCCACCTGATGGATGGTCCTCATCCGAAAAGGACCGGTTGTGGGGAGCACTTCTGAGATTACGTCTTGTTGTAACTCAGTATTTCAATGCAGTGGGTAGTTGGCCCACTGCATCGGCTACGTCGTTCGCCTACAGACCTGGTGTTATGGTCTGCGTTTCCCGCGTTGCGCCGCTTGGAGGCCACGTAGCAAGCACCGCTTATTATTATTATTATTTTATTAAATGCTCAGGGGGGTTGTCCGCGGAGTCCGACTCTCCGAGGGCCCAGCTTGAGCTCCATCCATTACTGCTGGACCCCTCCGCACAACAAGGCGGTTAGTGATCACAGCGGGCCAAAGTCATTTTCCTAAGTAGACGGCGGGAACCTAGTATCACAGCCTTCTGCATTCTGACTGCCAAGAACTCAGCTTTTGATGAGCAAGCTGTAACTCTGGCAAGTGTGGTTACAAAAGACTGTTTCATCCCTCCAAGGCCGCCAACAATCAGGACGACAAGCTTGACACGGTAACCGGGGTAGAGTTTGCCAATTTCAAACAGGAGATCCTGATTTGTCTTTTGTGTTCTTCTTTGGCTGAGATGTTGTATTCAGCCGGGGCCGAAAACTCTATGACTTAAATGTCACGAGTAGCCTTGTCGAAGAGCATAATATCAGGTTTGTTGTGATCTATCCGCCGGGTTGTTGCAAATGGCATGTTCCAATAGATTTTGCAACTGTCATTCTCAACAACCTGGGGAATATCTCCTGGCAGATAAGGCAGCACTGGTGTCACATCAATACCGGAGCAATGACGAAGATAATAGTACAGTACTCTCAGGGCAGCATTATGACGCTGGATATATGCACCTCTCGCCAGCACAGGGCATGCTGACAAAAGGTGCATAAGCGTCTCCGGATGTTGTTTACACGCCCTGCAGGACGTGTCCGGAAGCTGCACCTGGAGCACCTTGCTACGGTACTCTAGAGTGTTAATGACACCATCTTGGCAGGCAAATATGAACCCTTCAGTCTTGGACTGCCGGAAGGTTTGCCGGAAAGTTCGGACGACCAAATTTTCCGGAGTTTCCTAACATACTCGCTGCGGAGAGCTGCTTGGACTTCAGAGACCGCATGCATGCGGTGCTCTTCCATTCCTAGATATCTATACAACTCTTCGGCGTCTAGTTGTCTTAAGACGCTCCCATCTACTAACTCGACATCATCCCCTGTATCAGAGCACTTACCCCTCGCCAGATGTACGACCGCACACTTGTCCAACCCAAAAGACATTCCAACATCTCGTGTGTACTCTTCTACGATGTTAAGGGCCGCCTGTAGATGATCTTCATTAGCACTATACAGCTTCAGATCATCCATGTAAAGGAGATGGGTGATCGAGTATTTTCGATCACCCGGGGGCCCCACAGAGTACCCACGAGTTTTACGGAGAGCTATTATTAGAGTGATAATATTATTATTATTATTATTATTATTATTATTATTATTATTATTATTATTATTATTTGTATGTATCGCCGTAAATCATTGCTACAGTACCGGATTTTGTTATCATAGCCTTTACTCGCACGGGTGAAGTCCCGTATTATCGATCGCGAGCAAAGTTCTATTAAATTTGGGAAAATGGCAAAAGAGGCCCTCGTGATCGAACACGAGGCCTCGAACGTTTTACGGTGACGTAGATTGAACAGACACGCGGCAACCTGCAAAGTGTAAGAGTGTGGATTTGGCGCCTTGAGTTGAGTTTCCTTTTTCGGTGAGTACTCACAAGTTGAGCCATTTTGTTATCTGTACACCGCTGTCTCCTGGCTTAGATAATTCATTTTTATTGTTTAATTAAATTCACTATCGATGAATCGGGTCGATCCCGTAGCGAGTAGGGTTATTATTGGGAATATTTGTACCTGTCCTGAAAGCCGCGTGCTGGATCCTTGATACGGCCAGCAAGTCTCAATTAAGACGTTACCATAGCTTATTTGTGCGATTATTAATTTATTTTGATTTATAAATAATGTTAGTCATCGAAGCAGTTATTATCATGCGTTATTTATAATTATTATTATTAAATATTAAATAATGTTGCGGACATTATTTTCAAGCGCAAATCATATTTAATATTCTTAAATTTTATTCATTATTATAATTTTTGTTTTGATTGCGATTATTATTATTCTCGAACGCAATATTATGAGTTAAGTTAAAGAAAAAGTTATATGTATTAATTAAAATTCCATAAAGGGTTTATTTTGTTATTTAGAAAAGATATTTAGTTTAAGTAACAACGTTTATAAATAAATAATTTATTTTTATTATTATTTACTGATTTGATAATAATTTATTCTATGTCAATTCATTTCCGGAATCTTTTCCTGCAATTTACATTCCTATTTAGTTAAATTTTGAGGTACTATTTATGATTAATTACTTAGTATTTCTGATTATAAATTAGATATTAGTCCTGACTGTAAATATTTTGTAATTTATTTTTCATTCGCATTTATTTGGATCGTTAATTGATCGTCCGGTGAGGCCCTTGGCATTTTAGATACTTTTGGTAATTTTTATACAAAATTACCTGGCGCCCTTTTCGTGCACTAACCCATCCTGGGGAGTCGCGGGTTCATTTTATTAATATTCAAGAAAAAGGGCGATTGTAAGAACTTTACCCAGCCGGTATTTCCGCCTCCGGTGGAAATTTGTTTAAAATTCTGGGGACAGTTTTGTTACAAGCTGGTGTCGCTGGTTCGTCCAAATGAATGAAAGTGTGGTGACGTTGACCACATTTTCTGCAATCATGGGCGGTCTTACAGGCTGTGATGCAATGCATAGTACGAGTATTGAAACTTTAAAGTAAGCGCGATTGCAGCGTCAAACTCCATAGCGAAGTTATTTTTGGCCCGAAGTCGAGTTTTCGGTCAAATAATCGGCTGCTCTACTATAACTTTTTTTTTATTGCAAATTACCTCACCGAATTTTAAGAGATAATTATCGATACTCTAAGACCTTGAAAAACAAAGTTAAATGTTTTTCGACTTTCCGAAAATTCTCGACTACACACCTACCTTTAGACCGATTGTGTTATATTCTGATAAATATATTCTTTTATTTATTTATTTATTCAATTTTTATATCAAGGCAAAATAGCCGAATGACAATAATATACATAGTTTTTGTAATAAAGTACACGCATAGCAATATTAAATATATAAGAATAACATCATTATATTTTAAGAAAGATAATAATTTCGAATGATTAAATAGTAATGATTAAATAAATTGTAAAATTCCATAATACTGCAAAATTTATAGAAATAAGAATAACAACAGAATAAATGAGCAATATTTGAGAGCTAGTTTTTAAAACGATAACATATTAAATACTTTAATAATTTAGAATGCAAATTTTTAATTTTAAATTTTAAATTTTTAAATTTTTAAAAATTTTTAAATGGCCTGTTTGACATTTATAATACACTTTCTCGTTCTAGTTTCATAAAAAATTCAAAAGCCTTGTTTTTGAAGGAGTCTATGCTGAGCGAGTTTATGACTTCAGTGGGTAGCTCTTTCCAGAGTCGAATTGCAGAGATAACAAATGAATGTTCGTAGATTGTAGTCGAGAAATTTGGAATTTGGAAAAGAATATTATTAGATTTTGCTGCAATTCTTTCAGATCTTCTGATTTCAGATGGTTCTTCTATAAAAAGACTCCTAAGGAATTTTGGTTCACCCGAGTTTAGAAGCTTGAACATAAAGCAAGCTAGAGCGTAAAGTCTTTTGAATTTGATTGTCAGCCAATTTAATTTATGCTTGTAAGGAGTGATATGTTCATCACGTCTAAGATTGAATATGAATCTGATAGTGTTATTCACGAGACGCTGAAGTTTGTAGTCTAACTTTTTTGGTGAATCAAGAAAGACTCATGAACAATATTCGATAATTGGGATGATAGTGGACATGACTAAGAGCTTGCGAGTGGGCGTAGAAAGAATATTTCTTCTATATTTCAGGCAATTTAACGTAGCGTAGACTTTACGAGTAGTATGGGCAACATGGACATCCCAAGAAAGATTTCTGGTTACGTGAATTCCCAAATGCTTCGTTGTATTAACATAGGGTATTACATTACCATCTATGATAATTGAAGGAAGATCACAGTTGTCTAAGAGCTTGAGTCTTCTGTTACTTCCTAGAATCATAACCTTGGTTTTTGAAAAATTTATTTCAAGGCCAACTTCTTTAGTCCAATCAGCTACTGCTTCCCCATCAGTCGTAAGTTTAATTGCAGCTTCATTCAGTTGAGAAATTTCAAAATGGAGATAGGCATACTTGTCATCAGCGAAGAGGCCACGTTTAGAATATTTTAACCTCTTTGTTACTCCATTGACAACTATCAGAAAGAGGATCGGTCCTAAAATAGTTCGTTGAGGAACGCCAGAGGTCGTATTGATAGCATTAGATGAAGTGTTATCACAATTTAGTACTGACTGAGACCTACCAGTGAGATAGGACTAGAACCAACAGATCACTTCAATTGTGAATCCCATTTCATACATAGTGATAAACAGGACTTTGGGGTTGACATAATCAAAAGCTTTCGTGAAGTCGAAAAGAAGAAGATATGTAAGTTCATCGCTATCAATAGCCTTGCGAATATCATCCGTTAGAGATAAAAGAGCAGCTTGTGTGCTGTGAAATTTTCGAAAGCCTGATTGATGATCATCCAGAATATTATTTGTCTCAAGGTGGTCTATAATTTGATTTGCCACAATCCGTTCGAACACTTTAGCGAGATGAGATATGTTTGCTATAGGCCTAGTGTCAGACATTGATCTCGGTGGAGTGACTTGTTCAAAGGTATAATAAAAACTAGTTTCCAGGCATCCGGAAAGGACCCAGTATTTAGTGAACAATTGAAGATGGTCATCAAGAAGAGTGAGATGGACGGAATGTGATCTCTCAACCATTTGAGATCAAATCCATCCGGGCTTCTGCCTTTTGATTTATGAAGAGTGATTTGAAGATTTTTTGTAACATCAACAAGGTCGATGAGTGACCAGTGGAAGACACTATCGACCTTCCTAGTAGCATGTGATGGCAAGCTATTTACGAAGTTTCGTGAGCATGACGGATGTTTTCTAAGGATATTGGCATAGAAATAATTCAAATCATCAGCTTCAAAGTGATCAAGTGGTGAAGATTTCTTCGCTTTAATGATGCCCATTCGCTTCAGATTAGACCAAATATTTACTTGTTGAGATGAGTTTTCAAGGATTTGTTTAAAATATGCATCTCTAGCCAAGTTTAGTTTGACTTTAAGCTCTTTCCTCATTTTCTTATATAGGGCTAGTGAATTAGCGTCTTTAGTACGACGAGCTCTTTTGTACAGGTTATCCCGTATGTGAAATTCCCTTTTTAGTTCATGAGTGAGCCATGGACAGCTTGGGCGTCTTAATTTCCTGGTGGTAAATGGTGCAAATACGTCTAGAGAAGAATTTATTGAATCTAGAAAGTATGTAACCAGTTCATTAGGTTGAAAATCTTCCAAATTTATGCATCCAAGATTAAGCTTATTATTCAGGTCAATCGCTAGGCTTTGATGATCACAGTTTTTAAAATCACGATAAGTGACCTGTTTATCATAGACTGTCTTTAATTCAAGTTTGTAATTGCATAGAAGATAGTCATGACCACCTATAAAAGGTGAGGCTGATTTTGTGAAGGTTCCTAATTTGTTTATACCATCAATAATGATGACATCTAGCCAGGAATCAACATCAATAGTGTGAAAAGTAAGCCCAAATGGTATACAGTAGAGACCAGCTTCAGAGATAAATGACTTTAGGTGATTTGCTGAGCGCTCAGACTTCAACATATTACAATTTAGATCGCCCATGATGAGAACATTATTATAGAGTGGATAGTACTTGCTGAATTGTGCAAAGAAGCTGTCAAGCAGTTGTCCTTGAGGTCTTCTATAAATTGATGACAAGAGTATATGCGAACCAGTTGGAGGAATAATATCAACTATTATGAATTCTGGACTATTTATGTCATGAGATTCTGATGAGTAAAGAAGTTTAGATTTCAAGGAACTATGAACAAAGCAGGCTACACCTCCACCTCTAGTGTATTGACCGTTAGCATTTACTAAACCTTGATCACGTCGTAGGATCGAGTAACCATCTAAAGAGACAGAAATATCTGGATTTAACCAAGTTTCTACTACTGTAATGAGATGTGGCTTATATTTTTTGACAAGAGCTTCAAATCGTGCTAGATGGGCTAAATAACTGTTTATGTTGAGACTTAAGATGTTTATTGAAGTACTGGTTACAATAGGCTGATCAATTTTTTGCTATAAAAGTTTTTCAAGGTCATCTTCAGTGTTGATATGAAACTTAGGTGAATCATCATCCTTCTTAGCAAATACATTGCCACGATCAGTCCAGACATACTTAATTTTTGATAGTTTGGCTTTAGTTTTTATCTTCTGTACAAATTTATATATATCAGGATGTAAGAACTCATTTATGTAAATGAGTTTGTTTTGGTTAGAGTCAGAAGAAGTATTAAAGACGTTTTTAGCCAGAAGTTTTGGGGAGCGGCGTTTGACTTCAATGATGTGCTCACAAATTTCAGGTGATTTAAGTTTAACAATAAGCGATCGCGAGGTTGATGTGCTATTTTGTCCACTTTGTCTCCTTTTATTTTTAAACTCTCTGATTTTCAAAATATCAGTAGTAAGATTTGCAATATTTAACTTCTCAAATATTTGGTGTGTAATCTGCTCGTTAGTTTGTTGTGTATTTAAATCATTTGGAATTCCGGAGATCAATAGTTGAGATGACATCCGATATTCATTAGCTTGTTGGGTAAATGGAGTACTGACTAAAGAGTCAAGAGTAGATTTAACTAACATGATAGTTGTTGCATTTTCATCACATTTGGCTAAATTTTGATTTAATTTCGTATTTATTATTTTGATTTCTTCTTGAGATCGTATTTGAGTTTTGGTAACCTCAGATAACGATTCAGTTACTGCCACAAGGTCTTCCGAAAGCTTCGTTATTTTTGAATTGCTATCACCGTAATTTTCTACTAGGCTTCTGATCTGTTCGCTATGTTAACTCAGGCAGACCGCGACATTCTGGATGCTCAAAGAGTTATTATATGACATATCAAGCAAAGCATTAACTTTTTCATCAAGAGTGTGTTTTGTCCAATCAGGCTTTGCCATTTGAGTTGGATTTAAAACATTTAAGGTAGGCAAATCTGTTGATCTTTGATCATTAGTGTCAACTAAGAATTTAGGGCTAGCTTGACTAGCTGGTGCACCTGAAACGGATTGAGAGGCAGATTTGGAAGTAACCTGACTTGCTTGATCATTTGAACCAGACATTTTTGGAGAGGTAATTTCAACTGGGGAAAGAAAAACACAGTCTTCTCCAGCAGAAGTAATAGGTGGTGTTTTTGGTAATGAATTAATTGATTTAAAACTGCTCTGCGAAGATTTCCTGCGTATCCTATCTAAAATGCTAGCTGGTCTAGTAGTCGAATGTCCAGAAGTATGTGCTAGAGAGTTTGATGGAATAGTAAGTGGAGACAGTGATGGACCAAAAGACTTTACACAGTAGGTTGCAGCTTTAGATTGAGCCACATCTTTCGCACAGCTAAGATGATATGTGAGTTTACAGGTCTTACACTTCGTTGGTCTTACAACAGGTCTATTACATCTAGAGCAGTTCATAACATAACAATTTTCATCACAATGTGGTTAGAGGTTGGAAGAGCTGTCAGATTGAGGAAAACAACACTTTATGTTTATATGTTAAGTGGCGCCATCCGTAGAGGAAGAGTAGTACGTAGTGGTGGGCACACTGCGACGATAGACTGTATATGTGAGTTTGCTGAAATCACTTTAACAGTGTAGTCTAAAATCACGCCGTAGAAAACTCAGTAACCTCCAAATCCATAAACATGAAATTGAAAAATTTACAACTTCACTTTCAGTTTAGCAATTTCCGTACTTATTTGCAATCCAGAAAGATTGCGATAAAGAGCTTGCAAAGATATCTAAAACAGAAAAGCCTGAAGGCATAAAGCGCAGAAAAATATTCCGAAATGAAGAGTGAAAAGAAAGACGTGTTATTAGTACTTACGTGACTTTAGAAAAATTTTGTAAAGTTATATATCTCTTGTGTCGAAATATTTTTTACTGCTACTATTTCTGATAGCTTAATTTTCAGTTTTTTATGATGTAATTCATCCAATGGCTTTTTAATCATTAAAAAGAAACGTTTCTTGTTTTATCGTCGTTGTCAACATTCGAGTCATTAGTGTTAAAGATGTATTATGAACAGATTTTATATTTTACGTTAAATTAATTGTTGAATTTTTTACTGATTTTTTTTTTCCAGGTGAATGGAGTTCACTTATTTGGAACAAATCACACTGAAGTCGTTACAATATTACGTGAGTTACCCTTGCGTGTTAGACTGGTTTGCGGTCGAAAGAAATCAATACAAGCAACTTCGCGATTCATTAACATAGTTGACGAGCATGCAACTGTTCAGTCAAAGGTAATTACATGTTGGCTCAGGAAAAAAAATACCATTAACAAAAATTCTTGATATTCCTGAAAAAGATTAATCTACTCTTATAAAGCCTAATTGGTGGGCGATTTTTTTTATATACAAACAATGAGAAAGAAAGTTTTCCGTAGTATGAACATCACTCGAAAAACGCACTATTTGTCAAACATGTTATTCAAAAAGGAACTAAAAATGGTGCTGTTTGGCCACATTTGAGGTATTAAATTTTATCCGCTTACTTAAAACATAACATAAGCAGTTTTGTTGTCAATTTTATCAAAAGAAAAAATTCATTAGATAAATTTCTATATTTTCTACTGAAAAGTTTCTCATCGTCGCACTTGTTCAAGTCAATCGTCTGACGAATGAATATACCAAGTTTTATTAGTTTTCGTTTGGAACTTCATGATTTAACACCTACGAATTGCAAATTGTCTGAAAATAATTCATTAACTTAAGTGAGAGAAATGTAGGTCACGTAACCGTAGGTTTTAGTATGAATTACAAAGTCGTGCTTGGATTTGTAAACCAGTGCACTTGGCGGTTAGAAAGGCAAGAAAATATATGTGCAAGTTATCCGGTTGTTCGCTTTATGCTTCGAAGACTCTGTTTTGGCGTAAACCATTTGGATGTCTTGAGCTACACGTACAAGTACGAGCAACACCCGGATGATATTAGCGATGGTTGAGCAGACGGATGGTTATCTGGCCTTATTGGAAATTGGAAGACCTAGGGTAGGTCTTAATGAATGGTCTGTAAAGTAAGCTTTGAAGGATGACCAAGAGGCCGAAAAGTACGGTCACCATTACATAAATATTATTCAGCCAACAATCTTAGTTTTACCAGCGTCCATTCAACATCGAGCTTATCACTCAGCAAGTCAATAAAATCTTCGAGTACCTTCGTTTATCAGTAGTTATTGTATTTGTATTTATTTGATAACTTACAGAGTCGGTGTGATTATATTACATCGGCTTTTTGGTATATGAAGTCGTATTTGTAAAGAGAACTCGTTGTAGGTGTGATACGTCCTAGGGGAATCACAAATTATTATTGACTGCTTGCTTGTACGGTCAGACAACTGAATGCCTCTACTATGCGAGTAGCAATCAAACCTTTGACGAATATCATTGGTTTAGGAATTGTTGAGTAATCAAATTAAAGAGATAACTATCAGAAGCGATTGAAAAACGTGAAAAGAATATAACAAGGAAGGATAGAAATAAAACAAGGAATTACTTACAACTCGTTCAGTAAGCTCGTGGTTTATTGTCGCACAGATACTCAGTAGATACTGATTTTGATAACCACTTTTAAGCGAACGTTAGCGTTGGAACTGATTGTGGAGATATTAAATATTATTTTCCTTCAGATGGTAAGTAGATTGGAAAATTCATAGAATTCCAGTATTAATACATTAACCTAATGCTCAACGATTGAATTTTGTTCAACTCGTTAAGAAAAAAAATATTTAACTATACAATATTTCTAGTCTCAAATGTTTGCTAATGACAAAAGGTTATTGTAAAATATTTCGGAACAATTATTGAATCATCAGTTATTTAGTTACAACGCGATTTTAATCGAATAGTCACTTTCTTTAAATTTTTAGGAAATCTAAGTTTCATGGAACTCCTTAGAATGCCAAGAGTTGATTCCAATCAGACGAGCCGTTTAAAAGTTATACAAGGTTTACACACACACACACACACACACACACACACACACACACACACACGCATACCTCGTGTTCGGTTTGCTAGGTCCGCATCAGGCGCTTCCTCAGGTTACGGATAAGGGAATGCCCGGCAGATATGTCAGGTACCGAGGAAATTAAATACTCGGGGTGGACAAGAACCTAGCTATCAACGATATGGAAACGTCATAACACTTTCAAACATCGTTTATCGCACAGGGGAGGGATACCTTAGTGCTGGCGAGAAAAGGCGTGCAAACGGGCCTGAACTCGTCGTCATCAAGCGACCGTTTGGACAGCAGGGTGGACCCCATATCTCCGCTGCCTAGTAATGCTACAAGGAGTAAGAAAATAGCCCTGATGGGAGTGGACGGACAGTCGAGCAAGGTTCTTCCAAAGAGTGGAAGAACACTGGCCAACAATCGCCAATGGAGTGGCTTGGGAGCAAAATCAAAGAGTTAGCCGACTTCATTAAAGACAGAAACAATCTCCATCATGAGATCAGAAAATTGGTTGGGTCTATTGCTATGGCATATAGGTTGGCCAACAAAGCACCAACGATGTCGGAATCAACCACCCAAACATCTCCGTGGATGACCACAATCCTTGAACTACTTCTGGTTACTCCAACCAAACCATCACGGCAAGAAAAGGACAACAACAAGAAGAGGCAGCTGTCCACACCCAGCCCTTTTTCAGCAAACGATAAGCCAGCACAGAAAAAGACAGCCCGTGACGATACCTGGATCAGAATGACTTGACAAAAGAAGAAGAAAGAAACAGAAAAGGAGCTAGCAGTTCAATCTACTAAAGCCCAAAACCAGCCAAGTAAAGGTGGCTCTAAAATAAATATATTTATAAGTTAAATTAAGTAACAATATGCAACCTTTAAACAATAAAAAAAAACAGTAAAAAAATTCTAGTTTGAAGTTTTCATATCTCCCCTGGATATCGTGTCTTTTCCCTGGCCTTTACAAGACAGGGAAGATAGAAACAGGAGAGATACTTTTTAATAACAAAAACAGAAGTAATTACAAATGTAATTATAGTACGCGATTAATCAAGAAAACTTAGAATCTATACACAACAACAAGTAAATATACAGATGAATTAAAATTTTTAGATAAATATTTTTAAAATAAAACTTGACAGGAGAGAGAGACTCCATTCACTGGTTCTCAGCTGTATCCACAGAGGGTCACTAATGAAATAAATAACAAAATGACTGCGCACCTAGTTTGACTGGCACTGACTACAAGGTATTAACTCAACGACATTCGTTTGAGGTCTTCAATTCCCGTGACTCGGTAAACAAATGCTGAGTTTACGCGAAAATAAACATGCCAGGGGACGAGACGCAAAATGAGGGGGACAAACTTAAACGTAATTTTTTTGAGAAAAACAAAATATTATGCAATTTTACTCGCTTGATTACGAGAATTTATTGAATTTATTTTGTTGGAATATATGATTTAAATAATATATTTGATTTCTAAGCACTTTAAATTACTAATCCATAAACAGAATCAGCCCGGGGACAAGCCAAGGGAGAGATGTTTTCTGACTTTCAGATGAAATTGTGACTAAATTAAATAAAATTAAGAAATGAATTTAAGTGGCTACTTACATGAGCACGAGTTTAAAGAGATAATTACATTTTTTTTAAGAAATTTTTTTAAAAAAGATGATTTTTCACCGTGGACGTCGAATTTACGTCTTAACTGAGAATGACCCATATTCTAATTTTATTGTCATTTAAGTATTTTAATCGCTATTAAATACCTTATCTTATAAGTTTTATTCTACAAAAAATAATTAGTTTGTTTTAGTACAATATATGGAATAAGTAAATAAATTTAAGAGAAGTAAAGGTATAAACAAAGTTAAGTATACTCATGAAATATAATTTGAATTCAAAATTTTATACTGCTCAGGATTTTTTACAAAATTTACAGGAAAGCTGTCACGAAAACATTCAATTAAACTATGTAATATAGGTAATATTTATTTCATTTTGAAGTGTAAAATATATTTAATGTTAGCATGTTATTTATTTTGTGGAAGACTAAAGTACTTGTTTATAAGGTCTACATTCCCACTCTTGTATAATTTTATTTTCATTGTGGTGTCATTGGTTGCTATGTTAAAAAATCGGGAAGTTATTGATTTCACCCCGTTTTGCAAAAATCGAGTTTTCATTAGATCTCGACGTTTGAAGGTCACAGGAAGCTTCCTATGTCTATGTCTATGTGTGTGTGTGTGTTTTTTTATCTTCCCTTAGGGGGGGGGAATCCTTTTTACGGATTCTAGGCATAGTTGTTTGGCCTGGATATGTGGCGACTCGACGCAGCGTCATACTAAAACTCGACACTAACGCTCCTACCCACTAAACCCTAAACCCCTTTCCTCTTTCCTCTAATCCCTCATGGAAACCGCCGTCAGGCATTACTTCGTGAAGGG